CGATTCATTGCCTTGCTTAAGGTGCGTGATTTCTATACTAAGTGTATATACGTCTCTTTTATCTGCATAAGTGTTTAATAGAGCATCTTTTAAATTTTCCCAAGTTCTTATAGTACATGAAAAAATATTTATGGCGACATCACCTTTAATTTTTGCTAAAATGCTAGAAGTCAAATATTCATTTTGAAAATCGGTTGGGTCGGTTATATTATAAAATTTATTGACTAATTTTTCGCAAATCTCTATGAAGCGTGGAAGTAACGCAACATCTCCATGGAATTCTGGGATCATGTCCAGATATTCTTTTTTTAGTTGAGGTAAAGCCATAGTTAATTTGGATTTTGATAAAATAATTTTAGGAAAAATATTAGAAGTATTTGGTTGAGTATTAAATGAAAATGTATTGTTGTTTGAGTCAGAATCTGAGTCAGAATTACTTGAACTGTCTGAATTAATGAAAAATTGTTGCTCTCTATACGACATAAATAAAGGTACTTACAATAAGAATAGTTTCCAGCCCATCTATGTTCTGAGTCCAACAACGGCACGGCAGGAACAGGACCTTCACAGGAACTTCAATATTCACTTGAATTTTCCTTTACACTATTCTTCAAGTTAGTCTACTCAATTCACCTAACTAAGAGTCTTTTTTCGCGGTTCCAGTTATTTTTTTGTTCGATAGATTTTTAAATCGTTAATACGAACCGGGATTTATATTCACTAAAGCCCGTTTTATCTATCCTACTGACTGCGCCACTAAACTTGGAACACTCTGTATATAGTTTTTTAAAAAGATTTATTTAACAATTTTTACAAGACAACTTTCATTGAAGAGAACAGATTCTAAACTAAATTATAAAAGTAATATTTTAATGTCTAACAACACAAATATGATAAAAATGTAATACTAGCTAACCGGAGATAATGCTGAAACCGTAGACGCGCCTTGGGCAATGTCCTGTAACTATTTGCATACACTGCTGGTTATTCACTATAACTGTGAATATATATATAATATATATATATATATATATATATATATATATATATATATATATCTGGACCTCAGAGCCAAACGGTATTAAGTCCTGTATTTTAAATTTTACAGGAGAGCAATTTGAAGATTTTGAAAAATGGTATTTTTCGAACGAATTCCTATTGTAAATAGGAGTACACGGATTATTATTTTCCCATTTATGTTTTTTAAAGTTAAACAAAGCTGATAATAACTAACCTCTTACTTTAATTTATTTAAATAATTTTAAATTAATATTGGGACTTAATACTCTTTGGTTCTAATAATGGACTTAATATCTTGTGACTTAATACCATATTTTGTTACATAATACTGTTTGGCTCGTACTAATCTGTAGATACGATGGACTAGATACTATTATTAATTAAGAAACTTACAGTAGAACAATGCAAAGTACAAACAGCATTATATCAATTCCAATTAAATAATAAAACGCAAAAAGACACCAAAAATATTTATTTTTTAAAATAAATGAAATCAGACCTAAATGTTACAAAGGAATAATTATAACTAACTTAAAACAGAAAATTCATAACAAATATCATTGTAATTTTTAGTCGTCCTCCTTGAGGTCACCATGTGGAAGATTTTTAAAGTATTCATGGAATCTTTTAGGCACCCATTGTAATAAGTTCTGCAAGTCATTATATTTTTTAGTCGAAATGGGCTTAAGTGTGTCTCTTATTGGTTTCAAAATTAAATTGGCATGGAGAACAACTTCCTTAGAATTATCATTACATTTTCCTTTGAGTGGTAGTCTTTTGGCTGCTCTATTGAAATCAACTTGTTCAAAATTCTCTTGATTAAAATTTGTTTTAAAATGTAAAACTCCAGGTGTTTCTGCTAAAAACTTCATATGAACAACTTTAGATATTAAAAAGTTTTGATTAGTTATCGTTTTTTTGTTATTTTGAAAATAAGATCTGGATTCTTCAGATAACTGAGTAAAGTTCTTAAAGTCCATGGTTTCCATTTCCGCTACCTCCAATTTATTGTCACAAAGTCTGAAAAGCTGTTGCCAATCCCACGGAGTTATTAACGAAAATTGACTGGAAGCCTTCTTCTGTCTTTCTATTCGTGCATGAATTGTATCCACCTCCATGTGAGTATGTCCTCTTAAAAGGTACTTATGCTCAATGCATTTTATGGACGGTTTCAGCTTAAGAATCGAAAGATAGCACATAATCATCTGAATATTTCTATTTTGTGATGGACAGTTGTCACTCCAGATAACAATCCTTTCTACTGATTCTTTTACATTTAAATTAATGTATTTTAGAAGGCATGAAGCCATTTCATTTCCACCACGTCCGGCTATAGATTCATCCCAGGTGAAACAATATCCTAATTTCTCTATTGCATCATATACAGTATAATTGAAAGTCCATAGCTTTAGAGAATAGAAGCTCTGAGCATTCGTTAGTAGAGGAGTGGGTAAACATTTTTGTAAATCCACCGAAAGTATTTTGGTGTTCGCTTCGGTTTTAAAAGTCTCTTTATCCTGTCGCTTTAATTTGTACCGATGATCTGCATCAAAAAGATGAGAGTCATAGTTAGTTTGTAATTCAAGGCGTTCTTCCAAGGATACAGAATCTTTGAGTTTGATAACATACCCATCACATGTGTCACATGTATCATTTTCTGGCTCTTTGAAGGCTAAATTAAATTCAGAATTGAAAATTTCATTATATAACCACTGCTTGGGAATATGTTCTTTAGGAATTTGACGTTCTACACAATCCTCATAGAAGCACCGATACATTATAGAAATATTGAGATGGCTCCCTAAATACTTCCTCTGGGATTTATTCCTGGAGTAATGTGACTCTATACACGGGAACTTCTGTATGTGCTCCCTGATAATGTTTCTTATGTTCGCGGATATTTTATTAGAGGGTTCATGTTTACCCCTTTGATCAGGTATTACAATTCCCCCAAGTTGTCTTTTCGTTAATGCGTTACGTACAGTAGTTTGTGAAATATTTAAAATAGTTAAAAAATACTTCAACGACGTTATTCTTTTTCCAGCACGAGATCCCGTTCTAGCACGTACACGCTCAACTGGAACTTCTTCGATACAACTAGCTATAAATTGTCTTTTTTGGTCAAGTTCGATGGTACCATTCCAAAATTGTGAGTGAATTAGAGCACGACTCTCAACTGATATATTCTGTTTGCACTGCTTTCTACATTCATCACGACAAGGTGGTCTCATTTTATTTTTTCTAATAAGCTTATTGGTGGCTGACAGATATTCTTCACCAGCAGCTTTCTTCTGCTTTCTAATGTTTTTCTTCCAATTGGTAGTATTTCTTTTTCTTTTCTTTCCTTTAGTGTCTCGTATTTCTACTTCTTCCTCTTGTTCTTCTAGTTCATTTGTATCACTGCTTTCATTAGGTAGATAAGATGGATCTTCAGCTTCAGTATAGACTTCTTTATGTAACACACTTGCACCTACTTCAGCTGCTCTATAGTAAGGTCTATCGTCATCATGTTGAACAATAATTTTTGAAGATGTTTCGAATTCGTTATTTTTATGCTTTTCACTGTTTTGAACAAAATGTTCTAGTGAATTTTCTGGTAGGTAGTTCACACCCGTCTATATTTTCTCTCAGAATTTCTTCGTTATTGGAAGAAGGCACATTATTTTTACTAAAAAATATGGTATTGTACACATCATTATTCAAAGCAATAATATCCCCTGTAGCATTGTCACATCCAGTTGCAAGAACTTTCAAATTTTCATGAGGGATGTCCTTCACGCTATTAGTGGTTGGATATATTTCCATAACGATCTCAGCTTCTTCGGCGTTAGCAGCAACAGCAACAAAAGCTAAAATTGAAAGAATAATAAAATTTGTTTTGATACACACATTTCATGTAATTTAATTACCGTTCTCCTCGGGCAAATGTGAGGTTATAACAGGTTTTTCAGATATTTCGTTGCACTGGGCTTGTGCTAGTGTAATTTGTAATATTTTTTGGCCTCTCGATGTCATCATATTGTCCATATACACTTATTAAATATTAAAACAGCGCCTTTATCACGTTTTTTCTGTTAACTGAACGAACAAAATAATGTGACTTAATATTCTGACAACTGATGTACACTAAAACAACACAGTATTAAGTCCAGTTAACTAACCTCACATCTGGACTTAATACCTACATATTGGATATCATTTAGGGCCAAACAGTATCGAAAACCTTTAATACTGTTTGGTTCTATTTAATAGAGGACTTAACATATATAATCTACACCTATCTCGAAAACGAAAAGAAATTGGACTTAATACGCATTGCCATTGGAATGGGGCGGAAAAAATACTACAGGAACAATAATAACCTAAAAATAGGAAAAAAGTGGACTTAATACTGTTTGGCTCTGAGGTCCAGATAATATATATATATATATATATGTTCGGAAAGATTTCCGCGGTTAGTACAATGTAACTTAGAGCTAAGATTAATATTATTACTAAAACTAAATGTCAAACTCACCAGTCTTCCGGGTTGAACCGCGTCGATATCCATTTTGCCGAGCTTTCGGCATCCTCTCTGATGCCTTCCTCAGGGCTTCCGAGGTCTCAGTCTTCCGAGCCCCCAGACACTACTACACTGTTCACTGTTCACTACGCTGTCACTACTACTCACTCACTCGTAGTAGTAGACTGAATAAAAATAAACATTTCTAACTACCCCTAATCTAAAGCAATAATATCTAAAAATTCATAAAATAAATAAAACATAATATAAAAGTAAAACTATTCCTATATTTAATCAAAAATTGCTGCATCATATTACACCTTTTAAAACACTTGCCTTTTAAGATTGTTAATGCAACAAATAGAAAAATTGTAAGATAGTTTATTAATATGTTTATGCAATTAATTACTTAGATAATGACATAACAAAAAGTACTTCAATGATCGATATATAATTCAAATTTTGCTCATATAAAATTAATTTTGTTTTATCAATATAGTGGGTAACTATATAGAAGATGAAGATGCTATTACTGCTCCTTGTTCTGGTCGCAAGGTATTTATTATTTCTGTATTTTCTTCTTAATTTATTTACCGTATTGTTTGTGCATTTAAAAAGATGTTTTTTTAACTTCCTAACATTAATACTGTATGATCTATATACAGAATTAATGTGCTTTAATGATCTGCTATATGCTTTAAAGCTAACATCAAAAAATCTATAACGTTCTATATGAATCTTTACTGAAAAACATACATCGAGATATTTTTAACTTTGCTAATTGACTAGTATTTTAAATAAATTCTTTCTATTGTAGAAAAAAGCTTATTAGGCAACAACTCATTGCACAGAATACGAGAAAATCATATTTTTTGCATAGGAATTTTTGCCTTTACTGTTTTTCAGTTTAGTCAACCTATTGGATCAAATATTTGTTAATAATTGTTTCAAACTGTGCGTTTTGTAATATAATTTCTATAAGTGATTTTCTTTGCGACAACGTTTTTTTTATTTATTTACGCTGTAACCACCAGGGTTATTAGCGACCTAAATGTATAATACAGGTGAAGTTAGAAAAAAATTACAATAATTGATACAGTCCTGAGTCTTTAAGATAACTTATTGTGTTTTTAATGTTCATGTTTTTTCCTAGGGCTTCCTTTATATTATTTGGTATAGTGTGCTTCTTTCTTGCTGCTTCATATTTTTTGCAGTGAGTTAGTATATGCTTCACGGAGAGTGTTACTTGACACGTTTCACACATTGGCGGCACAGTTCGCGTAAAGAGGTGTTTATGTGTAAAGTTACTGTGTCCTAGTCGCAAACGTGTTATTCTCACTTGGTCGTGTCTATTCGCTGTGGGTTGGAGCCACGGTTTCACTAATTGTTTGATTTCTTTGAGTTTATTTTGTGATGCACTCCACTTATTTTGCCACGCACTTAACACTTTATGTTTTATTTCTGACTTAAAGTCATCTGAAGAAACCTCATTAATAAGAATGGAGTCCTGGCTGAAGGATGCTAAGCGGGCTAGTTCATCTGCTTCTTCATTTCCTTGTATACCTGAATGTGATGGAACAAACATGAAGTCAACAGTGATCTTATTATTATTTAGAATCTCTATTTCTGATTTGATATGTAAGGAGATTGGATTATTGGTATATAAACGTTTGATAGTGTGAAGTGAGCTTAGTGAATCGGTTATTATGAGAGATGGGGACTGTTTCGACTCTTTTATGTGGATAAGTGCTTGTAATATTGCAAACAACTCCGCAGTATACGACGAAGTAATGGGATTGAATTTAAATTTTAAGGATGTATTGGGTGTAAGGATGGCTGCACCAACACCGTCTGAAGATTTGGATGCGTCAGTGTATATCTTATAGTGATTTTTATAAGTTTCCATTTCTGTTAAGAATGATTGTTTGATCAGGTCTGTTATAGTCTCACGTTTTTTATATATACTAAGGTTAGTATTAATCTTGAGAATTGGTATTAACCAAGGTGGAGAAGTTAGGAAATTTGTTGGGAGAATTTCAGGAAATTTAAGATGTAGGTCATGAAGGTAATGGTGGATCTAGTCTTCTTGTAGAGAAAGTGTCTTGAAATCGATCTGTGAATGTATTGGTATAAAGTAGGGTGTTCTTTATTACTAGCTATTTTAGAAGAATATGAGAGAGAAAGGTATCTGCGTCATAAACTTAGTGGTGGTTCTCCTGTTAAGCATTGTAAATTTTCAACTGGTGTCGTGCGAAACGCGCCTGTATGCAACAACGTTAAAACTTTTAGTTTGTACATTAATGCATAATTAACCGAGGATACACTTGCATATAGAATTTGAGAACTGTCAAAACAGTTTATGGTTAAAAAAGTATTTTAATATAAAACGATATAACTGCTAGTTTGAGATTTTACTAATGATGAGTGATAATTATAAAGCATTTCGAGAGGAGCAGGAGAGACGGAATAAGAAATTGATCTTACATGGATAGTTCGAAGTAAAAAGTGTATTATAATTTACGATTAGTAAATTAATTGGGACGGGCAACGATAACAGCACGCTCCCCTCCATTTTTTGTGGTATAGCTGTAATATTTAGCATTTGATATTTTGTCCTGACTAGCTGCTATGAAGTATTCCATAACTGTTATGTATTTGTCATTACTTCATTAATATTGAATTCGGTGTCGATTATGGGAAGGGTTTGTATTTTCTTGATTTCTATACCTGAGGTAGGGCTGTCTTGCCCCTTTTCTTTCGCCTCCGCGATGTACTCCTGGCTTCAAATATTATATAAATATATATATATATATATATATATATATATATATATATATATATATATATATATATACATATATATATAAGTCCGTGGTTGTATTGTATATTCAATTTTCTTCCGTATATTTATATATATTCCTGTATGTACTCCATCACTTGTTAAGCGAACATTTCTATTCCAAGTGTAATGTATTCTTTCTCTAATGTCTTTGTTTTCTCCGTTACGGCTTCCTTGAAATATTTCTGCATCCCTTTTGTGAGTGATTCTTTGATTCTTGTCGACTGCCTCTATATTTCTATATGCTTTATTCTTCTTCTTGTAGTTCTTCTTAGGTTTCTCAGCCAGCAAATTCTTCGTCTTCCTATGGATCTTTTACCCTTGATTTTACTTTGCATTATGAGCCTTAATATCTCATATTTCGCACCTCTGGTAATGTGGCCTAAATATTCCAGCTTTCTTGTTTTGATGTGCTTTATGACCTCGCAATCCTTTTGTAGCCTTCTTAACACTTCTGCATTTGTAACTTGTTGGGTCCATGGTATTTTCAAAATCCTTCTATAGTACCACATCTCAAATGATTTCAACTTCTTTATATTATCCACTTTTAGTGTCCAGCTTTCCATTCCATACAACAAAGTAGAGAACACGTAGCATCTTAAGGCTCTTATCCATAGATCCAGAGGAAGATCTTGATTGACAAACATTGTTTTCATTTTTATAAATGCTTGTTTTGCAATTTTAATGCGTGTCCTTATTTCTCTACCTTGGTCATTGTTTTCATTGACCCAGGTTCCCAGATATTTGTAGTTATTCACTTTTTCTACTTGTTTTTCCTCGATATCTAGCCTTCCTACTGTATATTGTTCTGAAGCTATTTTCTTGTGGCATTTTAAATTAATTACTATTTAACTGGTAATAAGCCACAATTAAAATTGAAACGTCAATAAACGTATTTTTATCTTTAATTTTGGCTTATTCCCAGTTAAATAGTAATTAATTCCTACTGTATGTTGCTTAGAAATATTCATGAACTTGGCTTTCTTAACGTTCATTTGTAGAAAACATATTTGATACTGATTTGGTGTAATTTATTTACTAAGCCTTGCAATGCTTCTAGACTGTCTGCAAAAACAGCGGTGTAGTCTGCGAATCCTTATGTTGTTTAAGATTTTTCCGTTTATTGATATACTCTGATGTTTCTCTGACGTTACTTCCTTAAAAATAGCTTCGCTATATAGATTTAATAACATTGGAGGTAGCACGCAACCCTGTCTAACACCTCTTTTGATTTCTATTGTTTCTGTATCAACATTTTTGATTCTAACCTTTGATTTTTAAGTCCAGTACAGATTGAGAATAACCCGTATATCTCGACTATCCACATTCTTTTCTTTAACAGTTTTACGAGTTTCTGATCTATAAAGCACACATAGAGATCCTGGTTCATGTCTATTCGTCTTTCCGCGAGAACGTTAAAAGAGAACAGAATCTCTCTCATTCCTAGTCCTCTCAATCCAATCTGGGTGTCATCTATATTTTCTTCTATTTTTTTGTATAGTCTTCCATGTATTATTTTAAGAAATATCTTAAGTGTGGGGCCTATTAAGGAAATTGTTCTGTACTGGCAGCATTCTGTCGCATGTGCTGACTTTGGTAGTGTTACAAACGTGGACAGCAACCAGTCTTGGGGTATTACTCCTGTTGTATATACTTTATTGAACAGATCTAAAAGTATAGGCAGTGTGTCTTCGTCAATGCAATTAATTAGCTTAGTGGGTATCTGATCTAAATTTATAGTCTATTTGATTTCTGACTATGCGGTCTTTGTTGTCTGCATGGGATCTCCAAGTGTACAATCTTCTATCGGGTAATTGGATTATTGTGTTCATTATTGCAAAATGTTCATTTTGACAAAAATCTACAAGTCTTTTCCCCTCTTTCGTTTCTGTCACCTAGTCCAAATTCCCCAACATATTCGTCCACTTTTCCTCTCCCGACCTTAGCAATAAAGTTCCTCATTACATATGCTTTATCGTTCAGTTCAAAAAGGGATAGTAAAACAGTTCCTAATACTTCTCTTTTTTATTTGTTTTATTTCGACTGACAGTGATTAACTTCAATCATTTTTGCTCCTTCCTTGTCTTCATTCAATTTATCTAGTATAGCATCACAATTTATTATGATTGTAGTTAGACAATGTCATATAATCCGTGTATTATTGATCCTATCAATTTTTTCGCTTTCTCGAATTCTTAGTTTTTTCAGTTGATATTACAAAACTGTATGAACTTGTATGACCTACTTTTTCTTTCCTAGGTCAGTTTTGTTTTACTAATTATATATATATATATATATATATATATATATATATAATAATATATATATATATATATATATATATATATATATAATTTATATAATTATTATCAAGTAGAAACATTATAGCCAGTTGACTGACTGTATATCTTCTATTGACAATAAATGATAATAACAATATTTTAGGATGAAGTTGTGTGCTAAGCGAATTAACACTCAATATATTATTTTTATTACAAGAAATTCTTTTCGCAAGAGACAACTCTTTAGAACCTCACATCTTTTTATCATTCAGCTCTAAGACTAAGAGTAATAACGGATATTGAAGTATTGTAGGTAAAAACAGCAATAGTTGTTTGATAATATTTAACTGAATGAGTGGAGAGTCATTTTAATTCCAGTAATTTAGATACGACAACAAAAAACAAGATACCGAAAATTTAATATTTCTTAAATTATTTTGTAAATGTATTTTTGTTCTAGTGTATGTTCTATACCAGATTCCATACCGTTTCCAAAAGAGTTTTTGTTTGGCGTATCAACTGCAGCATATCAGATAGAAGGTAAGTTTATTATTATAGAATTTCACTAGTCAAAATCATGTTCTAATTTACAATGTCAAGTAAACTAATAAAGTAGCAAAGTTTATCTAGCAGATTCTACGAGGCGATGATAACGAAACGTGAGTGTAATTTTATTACACAAAAGTAATTTTTTATCACCGAAGAAAAGCATATTTTGGATTTTTTTTTAAGTTAAAGCTAAGACAAGAGTAGGTATAAAAACATACAGAATGAAATTAATTTAAATTAGTCCAAACATACAATGGTATGAATACTATAAAAGGTTTTCTTGATAGAGTAAAAGTCAAATTGAAAAAAATACTTTAACACACATGCCATACCTTGGCTAGCCCACCAGCTAAACCTTAATAATCAAGTTTTTACAAGGTTTTAAACGAAAATGCAGTTAGTTGTGTAAAAATTGGAACCAGAACCTCAAATGAATTTAAAGTCACTAAAGGCCTAAAGCAAGGATGCTGTTTGTCACCGACACTCTTTAAAATATACGTCCAAGAAGCATTGAGGAATTGGAGAAATAAATGTAGATTTATGGGCATCGAAGTGGGACAAGAAACTCTGTATACATTGTTGTTTGCAGATGATCAGGTGGTGGTTGCAACCGATGAGGAAGATATAAATTATATGAATCGAAAATTATTTGAGGAATATGCCAAATGGGGGCTTACTGTAAACATAAGCAAAACAGAATATTTAAAAATTGGAGGAAATACCACAGATCTGAGGCTTGAAAACGCAGTCATAAAAGGCTGCAACCAGTATAAATATCTAGGAAGCATCATATCAGCAGATGGCAGAGTTAAGATAGATGTACAAAACCGAATAACCCAAGGGAAAAAATGCATCCGAATACTGAATTCATTACTGTGGTCTAATAAAATAAAGATGCATACCAAACTTCGCGTATACAGAGCAATTGTAGAACCAATTACCACATATGGTGCCGAATGTTGGACGATGACAAAGAATGAACGAGATAAAGTAGACGTTGTGGAAATGGATTATCTTAGAAGGTCATGTCGAGTATCGAGAATGGAAAGAATCAGGAATGAGGAAATACGAAACCGTACAGGAATTAGAGATACTCTTTCAGATAGAATACAAGGAAGGCAATTACAATGGTATGGTCACGTGATGAGAATGGAGGAGGAGCGGTGGCCAAAGAAAGCCTTAATGTATGTTCCGCCAGAAAGAAGGAAAAGGGGAAGACCACCAAATTCCTGGAGAAGAGAAATTACAAAAACAATGCAATCTAGAGGCTTAGAAGAGGGAGATTGGAGAGATAGGAAAAGATGGAGGCTGAAATGCGGGAAGCGGCAATCGCCGTAGGACCCCCGTTATATGATCAAGGTTTAAACGTAGTAATTCTTCAAAAAATTTAATTTGACTTTCGTCATCATTACCATTAGCTAGACAAACTTTCGTGGG